CATGATGGGATCCCAAAAGGAGACCGATTGAGGTTTACCATTCAAAGGGAGGCCGAGGTAAGAATTAGGCCAAGATCCCCTTTTGCAAAAAAACCGCTCGGTCTAGGAGGTCTAAATCAGAACCCATCATGTTGACACCCAATAATTCAGTGTTTTGGAGGTTGGAGTTTAGCCCGGATGCTTACTCAAAGATCCGAATCGTGATGAAAAGATTTGTAAGATGAACATCATCAGAGGAGAAAAAAGAGGATGGTGTCATCTGGAAATTGGAGGCGGTGAATCTCCAATTGGTTCTGACCCACCGTAAAGCCCTTTATCAGCTTTGATGTTGCTGTGTGTGAGAGTAGACGGCTAAACAGTCCACAACAAGGATAACGAGGAAAGGGGGTTCACCTTGTCGAAGGCCTTTAGTGGCCTTGAGTTTTTCTCTAGGCTTGCCATTAATAATGATAGAGAAGTTCGTGGAAGAGATGCAACCTCTAATCCATGACCTCCTACGGTGTCCAAAACCTTTGGCTTCTAAGATACCGTCCAAGAAATTCCAATCAACCTTGTCAAAGGCCTTGTCAAAGGCCTTTTCAATGTCTAATTTTATGACCACCCCTTTCTCCTTTTTCCGCCTACATTCATCAATGAGCTCATTGGCAATTAAAAAAGCATCTAGGATTTGTCGATCAGCCACGAAAGCGGACTGTTGGGGAGTGATAGAGGATGGCAGGACTCTCTTTAAACTCTCAAATAAGACTCGAGCAATGATCTTGTACATGCATGAAATAAATCTAATGGGTTGGAAATCACTGACTGTTTGAGCATCAACTTTTTTGGGGATTAGGCAGATATATGTTTCATTGAGGCTGACATTTATGATCCCTTTTTGAAAAAAATCTTGGAACACCCTAAGGATGTCTTCTTTAAGAATGTTCCAGTATTTTTTATAGAATTCTACTGTGAAACCATCGGGGCCAGGAGTTTTGTTGTGTCACAAATCCTTCACGGCCTGCCAAATTTCTGTTTCTGTAAAGGGACTCTCAAGAAGGGTTCTCTGGTGATAGGAGATGAGATCTCATTGAAGAGGATAGGGAACCTTCCTTCTTTGTGTAGAGGCTTTCATAAAAAGAGAGGGACTCTTGCTCTATGTTCCCGTCTTCTGTCAAGCTTCTGCCATCTCGGGAAAACACTTCCGAAATGGTGCTTCTTCTATGTCTAGCAGCCACCAGTCGATGGAAGAACCTCATATTCTCATCTCCTTCATCGAGCCATTTCACCTTGCATCTTTGACGCCAATGTGTTTCCTCTTTGACAGCTAATGAAAGGAGTTGTGCTTTTAGAGCTATTCGCTGGGGGATTTTCTCAGGTTGAAAAGATCCCGTTTCTTCATCTGTGTCTAGCTCAACTAATTCCATAAGAAGTTGATCCCTTTGTCTGTGGATGCATCTGAAAGTATCTTTTTTCCATGATCTGACAACTGCTTTTAGGCCTTTTAATTTCAGGATAAACCATCGCCCAACCAACCCTACAAAGGGTTTGATTTCCACCACTGTTCCACCATAGGAACAATAGGAGAGAATGATGGGTGCTGCATCCACATGTTTTCAAAATGGAAGGGAAAAGGACCCATTGATTAATACCCAAAGTGAGCTGGATTGGATAGTGGCAGTGTTTAATTGGTGAGGGGGAGATCACTGAGATTGGCTTCTTCAATGAAATCGTTGAAAAGTCTCATGTTGCACGTAGTTCTTTGCTGATGGGATTTTTCATGCGACTGTCTGGTGGTGTTAAAGTCACCTCCAAAGCCCCATGATGCAGAGCAATGCAGGGAAAGATTTTGAAGCTCCTCCCAGAAAAGGTGTCTATCCCTAGCTCTAGATGGACCGTAAATCCCAGATAGCCAAAAGTGGAACCCATCCAAAAGAGTGATCTTGAGGGAAAGGGGGTAAGTACTGATAGTAATATTTGCCACTGAGAAGGATGGATCATTCCAAAGAATGATGATACCGTCAGATGTCCCCGTTGCCCCCTTTGAAAGCCCAAGCAACGTTTCTAGAGCTCCATAGAGATTTGACTATAAATCTGTCAGTAAATTCCAACTTCGTTTCTTGAAGAATCACAATGGATGTGTTGAGGTGTTGGATGATGCTCTTGATTTGGGCACGTTTTTTCTATGGAGCCGATACCCCTAACGTTCCAAGAGAGAATGCTCATATAGAAAGGGAGGGTCCGCCAGTGGTGAGGGAGGAAGAGGGTCCATCATAATTGATGGATGAATTAAGGTTGGAAAGCGCTCTTACGAACTTAGATGCTGTCTCTGTTCTTTGTTCAATTTTAGGGT